AGTGATTAGAAAATGTGCTCAGGAAGTGGAGAGAAAACTCCGTTCCTGCAGTGCTTGGAGAGGTTTGAAGGTTTGAAACCCTTGTGCCCTCTCCCTGGGCAGTGCTCAGTATCTGGTTGATGTGGACTGAGAGATTGAGCTTGCTTGTGTCCTGGCAGGGACAGGACTGGAGGGGGCACGGAGGAAGGTGGCTCTGGTTTAGTGGTTGCAGTGTTTGTGGGGAGAGACCAGGCTGGCCCTGCTGGGCTGTGCTAGCAAGTGGAGCAGAGGTGCCAAGTCCTTCGGCTCAGCCTTGGCACAGGGAAGTGCCCAGTCTTGTGGCTTCTGTGCTTGGAAGAGTCTTGGTTCCTTCCCATGGGGTGGCACCGAGTCAGCAAGTGAGGTGGAGGTCATGTGTCAGCCTGGGGGCACTGGGGGAGTCAGGAACATGCTCAGGATGAGGAGGAGACTCCTGTAAGGCTTTCCCACTCCACCCTTGCACTCCCACTTTGAATCTTGTGAGCAGCAGTTTTATGGCAAGAGCAGCTGAGGGTTCTTTGGGGACCTGGCCCTGTGCTGGGGATCCTATCAGGATCCCTGCCAGGCTGGAGCCAGAGAGGGGGGTTGATTCCTGCATCCTGATACACCTGGGGCAGCTCCCAAGTGTCCTGGAGCTCTGCTCCGAGTACCTTGGTGCCAGGAGCATCTCCATGCATGAGATGACAGCTCTAGAATGACATTTTTAGATGTAAGTGGAATTCAGGGACCTCACTGAGTTTTAACAGCAGTGAGCTGGGGACAGGGTCGATCTGGACAATGTGGCCTCTGCTACTGTCCTTCAGGGGCAGCAGGTAAGTCTGCAAGGGAAGAGAGTGGAAGGGTTTGAACATGCCCTTTACAAATCACGTGTTTCCTTTCATCAGCATAAAGTGGGTGTAGAACTGTTGCTTGGAAAGTCCCTCCCTGGAGTGTGAGTGGTTTCCTCGAATCAAAATCAGTCTGGTGGTTTATCAAGTCCAACCTTTGACCAAACACCTCTGTGTCCACTTGCCCATGTAAACAAGGAGATTCCTGCTCTGTCCTCAGAGGTTTAAGATTCGGCCACTTCAAATAATTTATTACTAATACTTGAGACTGGAGAAGAACAAAAGCCTTTAAAGGGCTGTGCAGGACCTGACTTCCATGTGCAAAGCTAAAGCCTGTTGCTGTTCAGGAAATGCAATAGGACACTTTTTTTTTCTGAACTTTTCACTCCCTGGAAGTTTGGATGCCTCCAGCCAAGAAATAATTCCATTTCTCTGCTGAGGTAGTTTCAGTGTTGTCAGGGAACAGTCACTGCTAGCAATCCAAGCCCTCTAGAGTGCTGCTATGGCTCTGGGTATGGTGACAGATAATGGAATAATGACCTTTCCACCTGCCTTGTTTGTGGCCATGGGTTACCTTAAACATGTGTGTGGGGTTTAGAATGAGAACAGGGGAGTTGTGGGCTCAGCCTGATCTCATGATGAGGTCCTTTCACTTTCTGTTGTGTCAAGAAGACGGGAGGGAGAACTTCTGCAGCAGCAGCACCTGGGGATGAGAATACGCCCTGCTAAAACAATACAGTTCTGCTCTGCAGGTTTTCCTCTCGGTTTATAAAGAGAAGCTGGAAATTTCCACTCGGTGTTGTGTTGGCTCTTTAAGAACTGCTGAAGGAGTTCTCTTGCTCTGATAAGGGGTTTAACACAGGAAAGGGGCAGGTCAGGACACCTCAGGGCCCCTTTCTGTGTCATCAAAGCATCAGCTTTGTTTCAAGGCACTATTTTCCTCTTCCCATCCTACCCAGCTTGCCCCAGGTACCTCCAGTGCTGCTGTGACCAAGCTGTGAGTGTAGAATGGAGCTGCAGCGGAGTTTAATCATTTCCAGAGGGTGAGGACTACAGCAGTTCAGAGGTTATGGCCAGGTGGGCTGGGAGTGGGCTGGGAGCAGGGGCTGTTCCTGCCCTGGAGCAGTGGGAAGCACTGGGCTGTCGTCCCTGTGCTGGCTCTAGCAGGGTGAACCTTCCCAGGACTGTTTGCTGGCACTGAGGCCAGTGGCAGAGGGTGACACATGCCAGAGCATGAAATTATCTTCCCCAGAGCAGCTGCATAGCAGGGGCTGAGTCCCAAATCAGCAGCAGGGGCTGAGCTGCCTGCTGGCCGGGCCCCGAGTTATTTGGATGGTGTGAGTTGGCCAGTGCTCTGCTGGGAACTATGTTAACAATTTAGCAGAATAGATGAGCTCTTTCCAATTCAGGGAAACATTTCTTGGCACTGTTTTATTTACTGTTGTAGGCTTGGATCAAGTGTTGGGCAAATCTCAAGCAGGAAGAAGGATTTAAAAATACACTGTGGGTTATGCTGATGTGCTGCAATGTGACCCAGCCCCAGTGTCCCTGCTCCCAGCAGCCCTAGCTGAGCCTTCCCAGTGTGTCCCCAGCAAACAGTCTGTCCACCCTTTGGGCATTAAAGGGAGGGTATTAAAGCCAGAACTCAACAAATACCTATAAAAAAAGGAGAGTGACTTTTCACACAAGGAAACAGTGATATAACAAGGAGGGATGGATTTAAACTAAAATAGGAGATTTTTAGATGGCATGTTAGGACGAAACTCCTCTCTGTGAGGGTGGGCAGGCCCTAGCACAGGTTGCCCAGGGAAGCTGTGGCTGCCCTGGGATCCCTGGCAGTGTCCAAGGCCAGGTTGGATGGGGCTTGGAGCAGCTGGGATGGTGGAAGTTGTCCCTGCCATGGCAGGGGGTGGGACTGGGTGATCATTAACATCCCTTCCAACTCAAACCATTCTGGGGCTTGATCATTCTAAGGCAGCTCCTGCCCTTCTGAAGCTGAAGTTCATCCTAGCCTAGCAGCTGGAGCACTGATTGCATTTGAAAATTTATATATTTTTTGATTTAAGAATGCGTTTTTGTGTATCTCTTTTCAGCAGTTGAGGAATAACTTTCTGTCAGTTTTTTCTCCAGGAGGAATTAAGCAATCGCATAGTCCAGTCCCTTGGGTGCTTTGTAATTGTTTCCAAAAGAACTACTCCCAGAATGACGACCACTTCCCAATTTCTCAATGAGATGGTGTTTGGCTTCACAACCAAAAGGTTTGGCATCTCCTCACAACATAATGAACAAGCAGAAGGGTAGGCAAGTGGCTGTTTCCAAAGGGATTCTTTATGATATGTGCCCTTGATTTTCCACACCATTTCCTGCTGTCAGTTGAACTTCGAAAAATAAATATGATAACCCTCCCCCAGAAAAATACCACTAGCCTTTAATTTCCTGTAGTTAACCCTGTACTCTCTCTACTCGTGGGGGGGAACTTGTGGAGCCAGAGAAGAAACCCTCAGTGCCAAAAATCCCCCTTTTTCCTAACAAATAATTCCTGTTCTCCCTCCAAACACATGAGGAGGCTGAACAAAAAATTGATAATTTTCTTTCAGCGGGGCTGGAGATTTTCACTGCTGTTTGTGTCCTATGTTCAGCCATGTTTCTGTTACATTTGTGACTGGACAAAGGGTTCAAACATAAATATCCTTTATCTCTCTTATTTGGGTGGATGTTGCCCAGCCCTGAGAGTAAAAGCCAGCTGGCACCCTGGTGGATTTCAGTTCTTGTACAAAATCCCCCACTGGGGCTTCCAGTAGCACTGCAGATGTTGTGTTAAACTGGATTTGGAACCAGGGGAGGAGGCATCAAGGTGGTCAGAGGGATGAAGCAGCTCTCTGTGAGGAGAGGCTGAGAATTGGTGGTGTTCAGTCTGGAGAAGAGAACCCTTGAGGTGACCTAGTTGTGTGTTTTCAGTACCTGAGGGAACCACAAGAAGGACGGAGAGAAACTGTGGACAAGGGCCTGGAGTGACAGGACAAGGGCGGAGGCAGAGGGCAGGGTTAGATGGGATACTGGGGAGAAATTATTCCCTGTGAGGGTGGGCAGGCCCTGGCACAGGGTGCCCAGAGCAGCTGTGGCTGCCCCTGGATCCCTGGAAGTGTCCAAGGCCAGGCTGGATGGGGCTTGGAGCACCTGGGCTAGTGGAAGGTGTGGAAGGTGTCCCTGCCATGGCAGGGGGTGGGACTGGGTGATCATAAACACCCCTTCCATCCCAAAACAGTCTGAGATTCCATGATTCCAGGATATTTTGATGCCTGGTGGGTACCAAGTGATGTGACAGCCTGGCTGTAACATCCCAGAGAGGAGAAGAATGAAACTCTGCCTTCATTTCCAGCCTTTGCTGGGAGAAGTACCTGGGTTGGGTTTCTGTGGATGGGACCAGTCAGATCTGCAGCCCCAGCCCAGCCTCCCTGCTGCAGTATTTATTTCCTGGGTGAGTGTATTCAGAAAGGAGAACTGTCATTTAGCTTTAACCTGCTGCTGGCCTCACATTTCAGAGAGGAATTACGAGGTTTTAAGAGAAGTTGGCACCAAGACCAGACCCAAGGAGGATGGTGACACGTTTTACTCTGGGATGGAACAAATCCTTCCTCCCTCCCTGAAGCTGTTGATCAGCTGTTTCCCCTTGACACCCCACAGCCATGTGGCCTTCACAGCTTGCTCCAGCACAAATAACTAACCTGCTGGAAATGAGTATTTTTGTTGCCTTGGAAAGCCAAACTTGGCTCTATGTGGCACCAGTGATGCAGCAGCTGTGAGAGAGGAAACCACTAACAACGCCCCCCCACCTGCTCCTGCTGGTGTTCAACAATGGCTTAGTAAACAATATAAACCAGTTGTTAATAACAAAACCTCAGGAACTGTGCAATGGGATGTTCCTTATTTGCAAACCCCTGGTTTGTTTTAATGAGAAGTAACACTATTTCCTACTCATCCCTTTTTTTTTCTCCCTTCTAATAATTACTCTAATCCCCTGTTGTGCTGCAGCCAGCTCTGGCTGCCCTCCCTCTGTGTGAGGTGTTGGAGGGACAAAAACTGTGCAGGGCCAAGCACTGGGAGTCACAGTCTGTCCCTGGAGCGACCACGATCAGGAAAGAAATCCCAGCCTGGTGCTAGTTCTGTGCAAAGAGTTTTCCAGTGCAATGATGCCCTGAGAAAGAAAGGCTGCTCAGTGCTGCCCAGGCAGCTCAGGAGTCCCAGGTGGGCAGGAACAAAGTCCAGTATGGTGCTGCTGGCAGGGATGTGTCAATCCCAGTCCTGCTCCCCTTCTCCCACGCTGGACTTCAGGAGTCCCTTCTGTGCTTCTTCTGTTCATGGTACTCTATTATTTTCTGCTGGAAATATGCTGTGGAGGAAAAAAGGTCATGGGTGAGGTGCTGGTGTTTGGAATGGGGGATACAGAGCTGCCCAGCCTGAATCCTGGGAAGTGTTTGTGTCCCAAACCGTCCTGGGTTATGGACACCTGCACCCAAAGAGGACACAGGGGAAATATGGAAATGAAGTGTCCAAGGCAGGTTGGATGGGCCTTGGAGCAACCTGGGATTGTGGAAGGTGTCCCTGCCCCATGGCAGGAGGTGGAAGGAGATGCTCTTTAAAGGTCCCTCCAACCCAATTTTTTGGAATTTTGGGATTCTATAAGTCTATGAAATGGGGGTGGTTACATTTCTCTCACCCAAAATAGGCTTTATTATGCTGGCTTAGCCAGAGGTTTTAACCCATGTGCTCACTCCTGTTCAGTTTTGTGTTTCCCACCAGCAAGGAAGGGGGAAAGCAGTAGACCCAGCAAAACGCAAGAATGGTGATGTAGACTGGGAATACAATAAAAAAACAGGGATTGTGTCATCCCTCTCTTTCTCCCCACATTTGCCCTATAAGGTCTCACAAAAGGGCAGAGAAGCAGCACCTGAGGCAGTGCCAGCAGGAGTGGCCCAGGTGGGGTGGCAGATCCCAGCCCAGGATGTCTCCATCCAGAAATACAGTTTTTGGGTGGTTTTCTCCACCTCCACTGCCCATTTGTCTGTGTCCCAGGCTGGGAGAAGGCTCAGCCCTGCAAATCCCCAGGAAGAGGAAAGGACCAGCTCTGCTGCCAGGGAGTTAGGGGCTGAGCTGAGTCAGGCTCTGGCAGTTGCTGCTGTGCCCAAGCCAAATGTTTGTGCTGCTGCCGCTTGTTTGCCTCTACACAAAGCTCTCAGTGAGCCAGCCCCAGCTCCAGGAGAGTGACAAGATCTAAAATGAATCACAGAGTCCAGAATCCCATGCTGGTTTGAGTTGGAACAGACCTTAAAGCTGATCCAGTTCCAAACTCTGCCCTGGGCAGAGACACCTTCCACTAGATCAGTTTGCTCCAAGCCCCATCCAAAGTGGGCTTAGACACTTCCAGGGATGGGGAGTCACAAATGAGGATTTTTTTTTTGACAGGTATGGAGAAATGAGGCCATTGAGAGCAAACAGGATCTGCTCAGTGCCCTGAGCACCCTCAGCTCGGGCTGCATCCCATCCCTCACAGGAACGAGGTGTCTCAGCCCCTAAACCAACCAGCTCAGGGTTCCACAGAGCCCACCCGACAGGGGAGGGGACAAGAAATGGGACCATTACCTTCCTGTGGGATCCTGCTCTTCTCCGCCTCCTCAATAAATAGGGAAAACATGTTTGTCTTCACAAACTTTTTCACGAGTCGGCGGCAGCTCTTGGAGGCGATGGCCTTGCAGAAGGCTCGCTCCTGGAAGCTGCCGGAGCCGCTCCTGCCCCACTTGATGTGGGAGCCGTAGTGCCCCACCAGCCGCACGAAGAAGTGCACGAAGGCTTCTGACACCAGGGCGTTCACCTGCTCCGAGGCTGGAAGGGGACACGGAGCACGAGAGGTGGGCATGAGACCTCTGAACACAGATAGGATGGGCTTACTTTAACCTGGTCTGTGTGTGCACCCCAAGGAGTTACTTGCTCAGAGCCTTCCTCTGCCACTAATCAAGGATCAGACTAATTTTGCTGAGGGAACCCTGGTTTTCCAGGGTGTTGCTTTCTGGTGGCAGCATCTTAATGTTCTAAATATTAGTAAAAATCCATTTTTCCATCAGAATTATCTGTTCCTGTTCTCATGTTTCAAAGGACAGAGGAAAACCCAAGGGATTACCCCTGCAAACGGGGAGCAACATCCCAGACCAGGTGACTTTAGGAAAATCCCTTGGCTGAAGTCTCTAGCTGTGGAGAGGGCAGATCAGGGCTCTTTTACCATCACAGACATCCTTACTGTGCACGTTGTTGTTGTTGTTGTGCCTGTTCAGAGATACCAGCATCTCGTTCTGCAGCTTTCCAGGCAGGATCTCCTCCTCATCCCCCACCTGGAAGGCAACGGGGCTGTGAAGCACTGGACAGAATCCAGCTCAGGGGGCCATGGCTTGGGTGCAGCCCATCAGTGGGGCTTTCAAAGCTCATTAATTAATCATCATCACAATGTCCTGCAGAGATGTGAGTGTGGGATATCCAGTGCATGGACCTGCTCAAAAGCCAGGAGCAGTGGCTGTAGACATCCCCACATGGGATGTTCCCCCTAGGAGGATGCCACTGAGGATGGCTCTGCCACCAAAATCATAGAACCACAAAATCCCAGATAGGTTTGGGCTAGAAGGAACCTTAAAGCTCATCCCATTACACTCCCTGCCATGGGCAGGGACATTTTCCACTAGACTACATTGCTCCAAGCTCTATCCAGCTTAGCCTTGGACACTTTCAGGGATCCAGGGCCAGCCACAGCTTCCATGGGCAATCTGGGCGAGGGCTTCACCACCCTCACAGGGAAGAATTCCTCCACAAAATCCCATCTAACCCTGCCCTCTGGCAGTTTGAAGCCATTTAAAAATGTGGAAGCTGCCAGGTAGCTGACACCAAAGGAGAAAAGGCCCTTCCTGGGGTTATCCAGGCCACCCCCAACCCCACATCCACACAGAGAGGACCTACCGCCCGGATGATCTTCCCTTCACAGAGATCAACTATCAGAGCCTGAAAGAGAGCAGGGAGTGAGCAGGTTCAGCCCTGACAAGGCACCTGGGCTTCCTCCCACCCATTTTGGGATGGGACTGGTGTGTCACCAGCCCATGAGGGTAGCAGGAGAGGGATCAGCCCCTCTCTGCAGGAGAGACCTGGGCAGGGGGACCAGGGCATTTCCCACAAGGACAATTTTTGCTGCAGGTGTGGTGGCTTGTCCCAACACAGCTTTCCTCTGCTTCGAGACTGAGATGACCCCAACAGCAGCTCCTGGAGCACAGGGGCAGGGCAGCTCCCAGGGGAACATGGAGGTAACACCCCAGGTGCCAACAGGAGGGGACATGGAGGACACCCTCATTCCCAGCCTCCTTGGGTGGGAAAAGGGCACAATCCGAGCCTCTGGCCCCAGGGCCAAGCCAAACCTGGGGACACAGATTCACTGATGGCTCCATCCAGCTGCCCTCCCCTCCGGATGAAATACCTCCTCCATTGGCTGCTCCAGGACCCGCTCCAGGTGCCGCATCTGGATGCCAACCATGAAGGGTGTGGGGCAGCACACAGTGTCCAGCAGGCACTCGGGGACCACGGGGATGTAGGTGTGAGCCCAGGTGAAGGGGTACAGGAGAGCAGCCACGGCGTGGATGCACTGAGACAGGACACTGTGGGACAGGCAACCAGCGGTGATATCACAGCGTGGAGGAGGGAACACCCCACCTCAAGCTCTGCTGTGTCCTGTGCCACTTCAAGGGCATTTTTTACAGGCGTTTTTATAATAAAGAGATCAGGACTCACCTCAGCTCCTCAGCCAGGAAAATGAGCCGTCGCTCCAACATGGCAGAGGCGAAGATGTGCAGGATGAGGTGAGGGCTCAGTCGCTGGAGCAGAGCCTGGAACTCCACGTGCTCCAGGTGGGCATCCACAGGCCGTGTGAGCTCGATGAGCTGCCAAGAAAGAGCCATGGAACCCTAGCTTAGGAGGGGCAACACTCCCCCTGTCCTGCCCTGGCTTCCTGAGAAGGTGATTTGGAAGCAATTAATGACCCAGTGTTTGCAGCATCTGTACTGTGTCCACATACAAGAGACAAACCCCATTTCATCCTGCCAGGAGATTCACCCTGTGCAGTGCTGAGAGCTCAGGGAAGCCATCAGTGATGTGCACTGTGGGGTTCTTTATTTGGGCACTGGATTTTTAACCCAAATGCCTCTTTTCTCCAGTGCTCCCAAGTCCCTGGCAGGGGGTGGCAGGGACATGTCCCATCTCAGTGTCTGAGAGGTCAGCTGTGAGCTGCCAGGAAAGGGAGGAGTGGGGAGGGCATGACTCCTACAAATGCCACAAAACCTTCCTGTCATGTCTCTCTGGCAGGGTCAGCCTGGCAATTCCTGGCTAAGATGTCCCAAAAGTGAGGGATCTAACAGACAGGAGGGCTGGCTACTCAGCTGCATTTGCCCACAAGTCTCCCAATTCCATCAATCCCCATGGCAAGTACTGAAGGGTTAACAGGACCAGGCAGTTCATGACACAGTCCTGGCCCTTCCCCCCATCCTTGAGGAAGAAAATCCCCTTCTCCACATGCTTTTCCACCAAAGCAGCATTTTCCCAGCCAGCAGCATCAGGCTTGGCTGGGCTCCATAGCCCCTTTCCAGCACAAATCCTGCCCCATCCCCACCTCAGCCCATTCAGTACCCAGGATTTATTTCCCCTCCTTTCCTGGTCTCAGTGATCTCCTGGCTCCAGACCCTGCCCAGAGCCCCAGAGTGCAGCTCTTTCGAAGAACATCCTCATTCCTCCTCCCTCTGGCAGCCCAGGCTGTGCTTCCAACCATGGCCCTGGGACAGAGCATTGAGCAACCTGCAAAGTCTTGCACAAGCTCCCTGGATTAAGAAATTGCTTAGATCACCAGCTGCTAAATTGCTCTAGAGAGCAGGGATCCTGCTTTCAGGCCCTCCCTGGCACATCCATGGGATGCTCAGCATTGAGGATATTTTTCCCAGTGCCAGAGTGGATCTTACCTATTTTTCCAGCTTGGCTTTACCACAAGTGAAAGAAAAAGCAAATTAAAAAGCTATGCCCGTGCGAGTCTGGGCTGCGTGTGGGCGCAATGAGATCATCTCATCCATGCCTAGATCAGATCTTTTCTCTACATGAAAAGACTGGGCTTGTCACACACCTGCACCTGCCTGGGGGGCTAAACCAGGCAGGAATAAGACTGGGAGCTGAGTACAGTGGTATGGAGAAGAGTATAATCATGGAATCATGGAATCATCAGGGTTGGAAAAGCCCTCTAAGATCAGGAACTCCATGTTCACCACAAACCCCCATCCCCAAGTGCCACATTCATGTGTGTTTTGAACACTTCTAGGGATGGTGATTCCACCACTGTCCTGGACAGGCACCTCTTTTGGGAAGAAATTTGCAGCCCATGACAGCCCTTGCACCACTGTGCTCCCCAGCCTGCCAGAGGAGCAGACACTGGTTCAGGAACAGTTCCCATCCCCTGGCACAACAGGCCCCTCCCAGGCCCTGGCACAACATCCTACTTCCAGCCCCTGGCACAGCATCCTGCTCTGGCATCAGGGCAAGGCAAGTCCCAACACAGTATGGAGAGGTTTTTGTGCAGCCAGTTCCAGTTTCAGGCTGGAGGAGCTGCAGAGGTTTCAAAAATGGAGCAGCATCCCCTGGGGATGGGCTCCATCCTCATCCTCACTGCTCTCCTCCTGGATCAGGAGAGAGATAACACCCATATTCCCAAGCAATGAGGCCCCTGGCAGCCTGACCCACCCTGCCCTGCTATGGTCAGCATCCCTGGGTGCTGCAGGGGTGGAGGATACTCCCAAATGTAGACCAGGAGGTGCCCCCGGGTCCCCCACCAACCTCTGTGCCCGACTCGGGGATGAAGCTTTTGATGGTGACAGTTTTCCCTGGAGCTGGGAAGGGTGATTCCCGAAGGCCCTGCATGAAGGGGTAGATCACTGCCGTGGAGATCTGGCGCCTCTTCTCCACCTCGTCCAGGATCTGGGTGAGAAAGATAAGAGTTGGGAATCCCCAGCAGATAAAGGAGCCGTTGCCAGGGCCACCACTGGGCCAGAGCCACCATGTCCCTACCTTGGAGAAGAGCCCAAAGCAGCCCAGGCAGCTGATGATGCAGAAAACCTCAGGGAGTCGGACACCACGCCCAGACGGCTGGAAGAGTGTGGGAAAAGGATTTGAGCATCTCCCAGCCCCCTGCACCAGCCCCACACTCTCCATAGGGATCCTCACTTGCTCCCCTCAAATTCCCAGTCACTCACTGGGAGATTTTCAAAGCTAGGGCCAAGGCCAATGATGCAGCTGATGTTGGAAAAGCAGAGTGCCCAGAGAAGGTGATTTGGGTGCCCAAGCTGTTAATTATTTTGGTGCAAAGTCCTTTGGCATATTTGCAAACTCTCCTCTCACCCAGGCGCACATTCTCCAAGACACCCTGCCCCACCAGGTTAATCCTGCCTCCAGCTACAACAGGGGCCATCGGGATGAGTTCTCTGGCTTTTTTTTCCCTTTCCAACTGGACTATCCTGGGTCTGTTTGCTCTTTTCAGCCCTCCAGACATCCAGTTCCAGCAGCCTGAGTCCATCCCTGGATGACAAAATGGGAAGGTTCACCAGGGTGAAGGGGTGGTTGATCCAGCTGTTGCCCAGGCTGTGGCACAGGGATATCCTCCTGGATTTATGCCCCTGTTTAAAGCAGCAGCCAGGGAAAACCATTGCATCTCAGAGCCCCTGAGCTGGTCAAACCCATGAGTTGAGAAACAGCCACTGCTCAGATGCAGTTTTTGGAGAATGGGGCTGAGGGCTCTTAGCTCCTTGGTACCTGGATGGCTGCACTGACATTCCCATCCTGATTCCCAAGTGGAATTTGCCGCCATCCTGACTACTGCAGACATGGGAAAGGAGCCAGGGAAGCTGTGGAAGCCAGTGGGGAATCACAGAACTGTTAAGTTTGGAAAAGCCCCCCAAGATCTCCAAGTCCAAAAGTAGCCCAGCACCACCACATTCACCCCTAAACCGTATCCCCAAGTGTCACATCCACAGGCTTTGTGAACACTCATTGTTTCCTCGTTTCCTCCATCCAGCATCTGAGTTATGTCTCAGCAGAGAGCTTTAAAAACCCCCTTTGGGTACCCTCTTGCTGCTCGTCCTCACTGTGGCTTTCTGAGGCACACCCCCAAGAGCTGAGCTCTGAGCCTGGCAGGAGGTGACGTGTCCCACCGTGGGGAGGGGGTGACACCCCCGATGGCTCTGGGGTGGGGAGGGGGTGACACCCCCGATGGCTCTGGGGTGGGGAGGGGGTGACACCCCCGATGGCTCTGGGGTGGGGAGGGCTCACCAGCAGCCGCCTGCAGTAGCCAATCTTCCTGCTGCCATCCACGTTTGTCAGGACAAAAGAAAAGGTTTCGCTGCAAGGAGAGAAAACGTGGGGTTGGGATGAGCTGGGATGGACTGGGCTGGGCTGGGCTGGTCCTTCCAGCCCTCAGGAGTCCAACAGGAGTGGGGACCCCAGCCCAGACCCTGCAGTGGGGCAGGTACCTGGTGAACTCAGTGATAGGTGCCCAGTTGTTGCCGTCGGGGAAGCAGAAGAGGGGGATGGCTTGAAGGAGACGTTCCTCCTCCTCCTTCTGGCCCTTCAGCAAGTTCTCACGCTGGATGGAAGTGATGCCAAGAGTCAGGGAGATGGAGGGTCCCCATCATCACCAGGAATAGGGTGGGATTCAGTGGAATGAGATCTGTCCCAAAGCAACCCCTGGCTCTGCATGATGCAGAAGGAGCCTGCACATGTCTGGACAAGCACCTCCCAAAAATCCAAATTTTGACTTTCACCCCATGAACAGTGAAGCAAAGCAGAGGGACCCTCTGCAAACTGTGATCTCTTCCTGTGCCACCTCCCTGAGATGTGATTTCCCCACTGTGGTCTCCCTTTTTGGGTCAGGAGGCATGGGAGAGCCCCTGGAGTTTCCTCCTGAGGTTTGTGGCCCTGGGCTGGGATCATGGGGAGGGACAGATGGTCCCAGCAACCCCAGCCCAGGGCAGGCAAAGCCCTGGGGTCTGGGACTGTGACTCAAGAGCATGGGGCACCTTTCTCCTTCCATAGCTTTAATGATGGGGAAGGAACAACATCCCTTTCTCCTCTAAATGTGGAAAACTAATCTTATCAGAAACACAGGACTAAATACCTTTGGGAATTGGTAGGTTATCTTGGGTTCATAATGTCCATCTGGCATCTTCTTCAGTGACACCACCACCAGGTACTCAAAGAAGAACTGTCCAGCAGAGTAGAAGACAGAGCTCCGCTCTCCCTGCTTCCCCTGTGGTACCCGTGGTGGGGTGTTTTCTGCAGCAGAGGCCCCATCTTTTCCTTCTGAAGCCAAAAAGATCCCAAAAAAATCTGATCAGAGTGCAATGAAAGGACTGAGGGCAAGGGAGGAGTTGCAGGGTTACATGTGAACTGGCTGAAGGGAACCAGGTCCTGGGGCCCTGACACCCCCAGCCTTCCTTTGCCCCAGCCCAGCGAGGGCAGAAGGATGCCCTGAGCAAAGTGGACACATGGAATGTGGAGAGCAGATGGGCTCTGCATTAACATCTGCAGGGAGGTGTGTGAATGTGTTTATAGCAGTTAAGTGTATTCTCTTAGGAGACGTAAACAGCAACAAACCAGCCCAGATCTTGTTTGAGCACCTCCTAAAGCTCCAGTCAGATGAATCCCAACCTCTCCCTGCCAGGTGTCCTGGGAACTGCTGATTGCAAATGAGCTACTCAAGGGTTTTCCCTAAACCAAAGCAAAGCAGTTCCTGGAATTACACCCCAGTTCTTGTTGGGCTGGTTGGGGAGGGCAGCTGGGAAGCATCAGCAGTCACACCCTAAACAACCAGGAACAGGAGGGAAAAGAGCCCCATCCAGCATCTCCAAGGGCCCTGGGATGACCACAGTGGGACAGTGAGACCCAAGGGCTGGAAAGGAGTTAAATGCTGGACAGAGACTGCAGCCAGGCCATGCCGCAGCTCTTCCCTCTCCCAGAGGCCATTTCTGCATCCCTTTATACCTTGTTCTTGATTCAGAAACTGTCCCATCTCTGATTATGGTGGGGAGCTGGGGCAGAAAAGTAGAGCTGCTCTTTTAGGAATAGCAAGGAAAACAAATATGTGGCTGGATAAGACTACTGGCTCTTGCAGTTTGTCCCCAGACTCCAGTTTGTCCCTGGGCTCTTCTAGTTGTGGCTGGTTGGGGCAAGGCATGGCTGTGATCAGCTATTCCCATTATCCTTCTCCATGTATGGCATCCTCCTCCAGAAGCAGGACACCCTGCCCACATGTCCCTCCAGCTCCAGAGCTACCTCCTTTAGTCTGGAAACACCTCTCCAGCCTTTGCTCCAGGTCACTGGGAGCTGAAGGGAACAGAAGGCTCATAGGAGGAGGTGACACTCATGGTCCCATCACAGAATGTTCCTTCCCAGGGACTAGAAATTCCTTTGCCAGCTTGGAGTGGGGGGATGCTCAAAGCCACCTCTTTGTGCACCCTGGGGCTGTCCCACCTCCACATACAAAGTCCTTCGTCTTTGGCAAGGCAAAATTCATCCCAAAGAGGACCCTTTGTGGCAGGTCAAGGATGAGACCTGGCTGAGGATACCTCTGGCTTATCCTCATTGGGGATCATCCTGGACCTGCCCAATGAGGTGCTCCAGGCCAGGAAAAAGGTGACAAGATGTGCATTGCTTCTCCTGCTCTTCCTTGGGATGCTCCAGCACCAGCTTTGGTCTGCTCCCACCTCTGACCCAGGCAGGGGGTTGTTGTTGGGGGGACCCCAGGGAAGAAGGCTGTGTCACGGGAGGGCTGCTGGTGTCCCCCATCCACGCTGGACACTGGCATTGGCTGTTTTCCCATCACCAGGGCAAGAGGAAAGTGCAGTCAAATCCTGCCTATCCAGTCCCATTATGCATTTCAGAGAACAGATCTGCTCTTCAGCAAGGACTGCATTTGCATTTTGTCCATGGGGTTCACAAGCAAACAAGCAAAACCTGCTGCTCTGGAGAGCCTGGCCTTGCCAGGCTACAGCTCTGCCTCTCACACGTGGAAGTGTGGATCCCTCAGCAGTGCCAGTCTGGCTGCAAAGCCCTCACTGGCAGAGCCTAAATCCCTCCAAGACCACAACTCCCATCCCAGGGCTGGAAGATGAGCTCCAGGGATGTATGGAGTGAACTGTCAGGCAGGCTGAATGTGGCGTCAGAGATCCCAGCGCTGCCCCAAACCAGCAGGGCTCACAGTGCCTCGTCTCCTGGGAGAGAGCCAATGACTCTCCATAGCCCGTGTCAGGAACACTCGGGGAGCACCCCCAGCCCCCCGCAGTGGGTGGGAGCATCCCCTGCGAGGCAGGGAAGGAGGCGGGTGGCCAGGGGCATCTCGCAACTCCCGGATGGAAAGTGGCTACGGGTGACGTGGATCTTCACCCTTCCATCCACCGGGCACGGAGAGGGCAAAGGCTGCCGCGGGCTTTTCTTATCGCCGAGGGCTGTGCTCAGCCCCACTCTGCCTGTGGCACAACCGGTTTCTTTCTTCCTGGAAAACTCCCGACCTCTGCTGTGACAAGGTTTCCCGACCTGGTTTGCGGGGGAGCTCGGCTTCCCGTGCCGCCCACCTGCCCCAGCGGAGAGGAAATGGCTTTGCCTTTATCAAACCTCGGGCAACATGGAGCTCATGCGGAGCCGGAGCCAGCACAAAACAGACGGGGAGGGGAGCGCAGTAAGCCCCCCCAGTCCATAGATTGCTACAACCTGCTTTTTCTGCCTTGACACACGGCAGCCAGAAAACTCTGATGATCCTTTCAGTATCTCGGAAAAGATCACAAATCCCAAAGGACGAATTTCTGCAGCGCCTTCCGAAGGCTCTGCAACACCCACCTGTCCTGAGGGCAGCGTCTCCTCGTGGGTCCCCCCATGGATACCCTCACGGGTGTCCCAGACGCCAGGCGCCGGCATGCCCTGCGATGTCCAGCGGGGATGTGGGGGCTCGGCTGGGGTGGGCTCACTTGGGCAGGGGTGGGCTCCCGGGAGAGGGAGCGCAGCTCCCGGGATGGGCCGAACACCCGAGAAGGGAGCAGGAGATGCGGAGAGCCCCGGGGCAGCCGGCCCGAGCTGGGCTCCGCGGGGTGGGTGCGAACGGGCAGGGCTGCAGGCACCGAGCCGCTGCCCCGGGCTGCGCTGCCCGGGAACGGCCCCGCTCCGCCGGCAGCCGTCGGCTCCCGCAGCCGCGGCACCGGGGATGGACCTGTCCGAGCACCGAAACTGACACCGACACCGGCACCGGCACCGGCACCGGCCCCTCCCGCAGCCCCTCCGCCCCTCACCTCGGCGGCCGGCGCGCCGCAGGCTCCGTCGCAAGAAGTTGCCGATGGAAGCCATGGTGGTCCCGGTGCGGCCCCGGCCCGGCCCGGCCCGGCGGGGAGGGCTCGGCTTCCGCCCGCCGCGCTTTCGCTTTCCCGGGGGAGGAGGGACGGCACGGGGCGGAGAGGAGGAGGAGCGGGGAACCGGGCAACACCTGGCACCGGCCGGGCACGGGGGACTCGTCCGGGGACAGGGGGCACTGGGGCACGGGGTAGCCCAGGAAACCGGGAGAAACGGGCGTGGGGGGCCCGGGAGCATCGGGAATGAGGGGAGCAGGGAGCCGAAGATACCAGGAGGAACTGGGGATGGGGGATCCGGGAGTACAGGATACGGCGGTAAGAGAGGAACTGGGGATGGGGGATCCAGGAGTACAGGATACGGGGGTAAGGGAAGAACTGGGAATGGGAGTCCTTGGGAGCACTGGGGAGGAGGAGTCGGGAGCACCTGGCATGAGGTCCTGGGAGGAACCTGGATGCGGGGGTCCTGGGAGCCTCGGGAATGGGGGAGGCGGGAAGACCTGGTTGCAGAGGAGCAGGAGCACCGGGCACGGGGGTACAGGGAGCACTGGGATCTGAGTCTGAGCGGGCACGATGGTCGTGGAGGCAGCGGGAATGGGGGAGCTGGGAACACCCCGAGTTATAAGGATGCCAGCAGGAGCCAGACATGGGACATCCAGGAGAATGGGCATGGGGGCACCTGGAGCACTGGACACAGAGGGAGCTGAGCATCCCTTCAAACGGGGCTGGGCATCCCAGTGGGGATCCGGCCTAGGCTGGGGCACAGGGCATGACTAGGCACAGGGTGGGAATCGAGGCATGGACACTTGGAACAAGGTTTACCCTGCATCACAGGGGACAGAACACTCATTCCCCAGTGCTGCAGCATTGCCCAAACCCTGCTCCAGTCTCCCAGCCTCCACCAAGCCCTTTTTTCCCCAGGACCCCATCAGTGCCAGGACCGGTGCCCCGCGCAGCCTCTGCGGGGTCACAGACGGCACTGACCCGTCCCCTCAAGGGTACAGATGCTTTGGTGTCTCTCACTCTGCGGTGTGGTGCATGTTATGAATAAAAAGTTATCTATTTTTTTAAGGTTGCAGAGTTAAAACAAGTTAGTCCAGTGCTGTTAGCTTCATTGTTAAGAATTCTTCAATTACCTGTTAATGGTTGGTGATTAACCATTATCATCGTGATGCTTGCCAGGGAGGGACACCTGGACAGACCCTGCAGGTACCAGGAGAATGGGAGTGGCATCAGAGAGTCAGCCCATCACCCGCTCCTTGCAGGAAGGAAGAGCAGTGTCCTGCTGCTGTGATCCGGGGGTTTCCCTGTCTTGGGCATGCCGGGACACTGTGGAGCTGCTCGGCCTTGCTGGGTGGTTTCACTGCTCTGCACACACCAACAGGGAAAGTCCCTTAAAAACCAGTAACAGCTTTGAAAGAAAAATCCCCCTTTTCCATTCTCAGCCTGTCCACCAGTATTTCCTCTGGTGTTTTGGGGTAGTGCTTATGCAGTAACTAAGATCCATTCCAAACCAAACAATTTTCTGATCAGAAAACTGAAGTAAGGAATATCTTCTATGATCCAAATTAAACATACAGAGGGACCTGGGCACAGCTATCAGTTATCGGATTCCAGGTGTGATGAGCTGTGCACAGTTCTCAGCCCCAGTGCCAGCGTGAGGCCGTTTGCAGCTGTAGAGCAGATTCCCTACACCAAGTGTCCTCTTCTCTTTTATTTTGCAACATCTCCCATTCCTCTCCCTTTCCTGAGTGTGGGCTGGAGCTTGAGGAGGGGTTTGCAGCCGCCAGGAATGGCCTTTGCCAGCTTGCAGAGGTGGTGGATGCTTCCAAATTTCATCCCCACCGGGACGCGTGCCTCTGAATCAACCAGGATGCTGCCTCCTCATCGGGCGTATCAGGGAACTGCTGGTCCAGGAGTAATTTTTCTGTCTAATTTTGAGTGGGTGGGAAAGCATTTGTGCTTCTCGGAGGAGAGGACAGTGTGTTTGTTTGTGCAGAGGGGTTGTTCCCAGGACAAATTTCCTCTTGGCACAAAGGGAAAAGAAAAAGTTAGGGGGTTCCCCTCGATTTTGGAGGAATACGCCTGCTTCCTGGAAACTGGCGCCACCTTAGGAAAACAGCTGCTGCTTTCAGCCAGAAGAAAACCCCCGATTTTTTGTTTTATTTTATACCCATAAACAGATTTTTTCCCCTGCTTTCTCCCTTTAAGGCAAGTCTCTGACTACGATCCCGCCTCGATAACGCCGTGATTCCGCCCGGGCGGCTTCTGTGCGGGAGCAAGAGCCGTGTTCCAGCCGCAGAACCTCCCGCTCCCGAGGAAACACTGTCCCTTTGTGCCATTGCGCAATCCAGCAAACCTTGCGTTGCTGAGGGAGGTTGAACAGTGAATATTCCCACTGAAAGCTCCTTTCTGCGGGAATCCGGCCGCCCATAGGGACAACAAACGGGCGCATTGTGGGGTCCGGGGCGCCGCTGGCCACCGCGCTTCCCCCGCTCGCCGTCGCGCTGCTCTGTGGCCGCTGCCAAAGTCATTTCGCTTCCCTGACCAACCCCGGGGAGTTTTGTGTTTGGCTGCTTTTCCTTCCTTGAAGTCCCGGTGCTGCTGAAAACACGCTGGAATTCGGCTTTCCGCAGGCACGGTGTGCTGGAACTGCAAATATCCCTCGGGAGCGGGAGGGGAGCGCTGGCAGAGTGCCCCGCAGCGCCCCGGGACCCCGCTTGCACCGCAGCTTCCTCCTCTGGGCTTGCAGCCCCGCCTGAGCCCGGTGCATCTTCCCTCCTTCCCCATCCCCTCGCTGGGTGCCGGAGGAGCTCCGGTGCCCCGGGAGCTGTTTCCATTTTGCATCCAGGCTGGGATCGGGGCTTAGAAACGGAGGGCGGAGGGCAGCCGCAGCATCCCTGGCAGGGAGGCCACCGAGGGCAGCCCGAGGATGGTGGGAACCCAACGCCCTCTTTTCCAGCCTTCCCCATGTCAGGGAGTTTCTCCCACTGGATGGCGGCGTTAGAGCAAAGAAATCTCTCTGGGAGAGGGGACCTTCACTGGAGAGACTTTTCCCCGGGTTTTCTGGCTCCCAGGATGTTTGTGCTCAGGCTGAGGATGTGTGGGTTCAGCATACTCTTGTTTGCATTGTTTCTGCCACTGATGCTTAGCTCTCTGCCCTGTTCTGTGCTCCATGGTGCCCTCTAACACCTCAAAACAGGGAGCCATGGAACATCCTCTGCCAGCTCCTCTTCCCTGTGGGTGCAGAGGGATCTGCTGGGGGCTCAGCTGGGACACTTTGAGCCATGACCAGGAGCAAAGCAGACCCAGACTGGGCAAGGAAAAGAGATGTCAGCCCTCATGGTACACCAAAATCACAATTTCTTAGTAAGGCACATCTCTTATCCACCCAAAATCCTCCATGTTCCAATTGCTGGGGTGCAGAGATCCCAATGTCAAAGTCACACACCCCAAAATGGCCCTTTTTTGCATGGAAAAATATTTGGGCCAAATTTTTCCATGGTAGTTGCAGTGGAGGTTCCAAAGCTCCCAGGCACTGGAAAACAAAGACAATCTGGCCGCTTTTCCTTGCACCTCACGGTTTTAACCCCAAATATTTCAATCCACCTTTGGGATTTCATGGACATGGTGATGGGCAGATGGGCTTGCACAGTGCTGGGTGGGCAGGGCAGGTTTGTGCTGGGCTGCAGCTCCTCTGCAAATACAGTGCAGGACAAGTGCTCAAAGGCTGTTTTCTGGCCAGGGGACATCTCAGCTTACAGCCTTCCAGCTGGGCTGGCATTGCTGTTGGCACATGGGCAACCACAGATCACAGAATCACAGGAACCCCTGGGTAGGGAGGCACTCTCAGGGACCATCCAGTCCAGCCCCAGCCCTGCACAGACACCCCAACAATCCCACCTAGTGCCTGAGGGTGTTGGCCAAACACTCCTGGAGCCCTGGCAGCCTCAGGGCTGTGCCCATTCCCTGGGGAGCCTGGGCAGTGCCAGCACCCTCTGGGGGAAGAACCTTTCCTGAAATCCAGCCTGACCCTTCCCTGACACAGCTCTGCGCTGCTTTTGCTGAATTTTCCCTGCACTCTGAGGACAGTTCCATACAGCATCATGGGTGGTAGCTGTCCCTCAATGCCAATAAGCAGGAGCATTATTTTTAATATCAGCCTGTGTTCCTGTTGCACTTGACCTTGGCAGCTTTTTATTCTGTAATGTTTCCACAAGGAATGGGAGCTCAGCTACACTGACAATGTCCTTCTGACAAGCAACTTTTTCTGCTCTCCCTGATACAAACAGGAATGACCTGTGGCCAACACAAATCTTTTTGAGAACTCAGTGACAGGAGGTCTAAGCCTGAAATAAATCAGGGTGTTCACTCAAACAGCATGGATGGAAGAATAGCAGCAATCAGAGTTCCAGTCCTACATCCCTCCAGAACTTTGATGGAATACTGCTCTGGATTGAAGTGGTTCCCTCCGTGGCATTCTCAACACAGACAGCTGCATCCAAACTACAAAATGGCCTGGAAAGGGTCGAGCCACAGAACTCTCAGGTGTAGCCTGGGATTTCCCTAGGACCTCCTGTGATGACCCAGTGATTTATCCTGGGTTAAAATGCCATCTCCAGGATATTTGGTCCTTGGGAAGGTGTTTCAGGGGTCAATCTCCTGCAGGATGCAGAGCCTAAGGTGGTTTTTCTATTGGAATGTGCCTGGTTAGGGCTCCCAGGTACTTGATGCCCCTTTTCCTGATCACTTCCAAGGACTTCTCCCTTCTTTTTGTCTCACAGGCTTCATGAGCCCTCAGCTGAGCTTGGACAATTTGTGGCATGTCTGGAAGCACCAGGGTCCCACCTCCTGGGTGGCTTTTAAATCCTGGGCATTCTTACCCTGAAGCACTGTGGAAAGCTCAGTGCTGGGGTGCTGGGGGCTCTGGGGACACTGGGGAGGCAGGAGGAGGGTGATGGTGCTGCAGGACACAGTGACTTGTCCCAGGGAACACAGGATGATGCTGGAAAGGGTCAGGGCAACTGGTGGGAGCTGGGTTTATTTGATAAAATAAGGGAGGAAATTGGGGATTTTCCAAGGTAGTCTGGAAAGGAA